AAGATAACCGTTTGTCCCAACTTTAGGTTACGGGGGTTTACCACCTGCTACCAGCCTCATCTTGATATCAGCAGTCAAGGCTTCTAGTAGCCGTTATTAATATTCATATTACTAACACATTCATTTAAGATTCTCAACTTTCTAAATGTTCCCTGCATCCTAAACCTATTTTCTGGTTTGAACCGTCCCAGAGTAGCCAGATAAAAACCAGCGCCTTGTTCCTGTGGTTGTTTGCTCATGTCAGTGTTGTATTCTTCCGTAACCCTAATTCCTTCAGTTGTTCTGTACTTGCTGTTTTATCAATAAAGTTTCTCTTAGGAGGGGGAACATAATGAGAGGAAACAGGGCTGCTGGTTAAGTAGTCTTCACCCATTTCAAAATAAGAGTATGAACAACAGTGAAATGTCTCTGGAAAAATGAACTCAGGTTGTGCTAATGTTTTCAGAGTTAGCAAAAATGCTAAAGCACTAAACGAAATATTAGCTCCTTTATTAGCAGGTTAGCAGGAGGTGTGTCCACCACTGCATACTGTCCCTGTCAAACATGGTGGCGGCAGCATTCTGCTAGCCAGTTGCTAAAACTAAAGATTTGGTCCAGATGAATAAAATCTTGAAGTCAGTTTTAACCTCAAAACCTTCAGTTTTCTTTAGGATTTTTCTAGTTTTTTTTATTTTATTTTTTATTTTTTTTCAGCTTAAGACCCAGTAGCAGGTTAAGAGAAGAGTGTCTTCTCCAGAAGAAAAATCCAGTTTTGGAAAGTTGAATACAGGGTTTAGAACTAAAATAGAATAAAACATGTGTGATCACATAAACAAGGTAAGAGAAGTCCTTACAATATGATTTTTAAAGAACATTTCAGATTTAAATATTAAGGGACATGTTATGTAACAAGACTCCTTAAAGGTAGATGCCAAAATTAAATCAAAAGCTGACTGAATAGTGGGAAAAGAAGCTATAAATTAAAAAAACGGTTCATGTGTCAGTAATATCCTGTAGCTATCTTACTTGTTAGGAAACAACGTGATCGCCTCATGTTTAATATCAATAAACATTAGTAAATACCGCTGCCAGCTGAACATTCTTTCATATTCGAACGCTGGAAGTAAATAAGTGGCGGGTTCTGCTGTCAGAAAAACTGTGTGGGAATGAAAAACATGATGAACTTGGATCACCCGCAGAAAAAAACAACTTTGAGCTGGTAGATTTTTCATCCTAATTAATTTCTCTGATAACATTTTTATGGCTTTCCAAAAAAAGCCAGAGTGTTTGGTTTAGATGTTCACAACTGGCTCTTTTTTTGTTTTGTTTGCAGTTTAAATGCTATTATTATGTTGAGTCTGTTTGTTCTCTGGCCGTTCTGGGTCTCGCTGTCATGGAGGTGCTGTGGAAAATATTAGTGTTTACTGAGATATGGTAGATATTCCATGCGGATCAGCATCTGCAGCCTATTAGCCAAGTTAAAGCAAACCCACTTTGATGGATAGATAGGATGGCCGACGGACAAGAGCCACAACAAGAGGAAGACGGGATGAAGGGCTTTGCTTAGGAAAAGAAAGCTGCTGCACGGTGCGCTGCTCGCCAATAACACACACTCCTCCCCCTGAACCCCTTTCACTGAGGCTTGATTACATTTCACAACTAAATGTACTTGGCTAAAGTCAGGGAAGAACTGTTGCTGTGACTGAGAGAAAGCAGGAGATTGGATATAAGGAGTAGCTGCCATGGAAACCTGGAGGCTCGGCTAGCCCTTAAACTATGTCATGCTAAATACTAACTGGCAAACTACATAAACAAGTGTTTGTAATCTGTATAAGACATATAAGTTATCTTTTTATAAAGCTGATACATGATCTCTAATAAATTCATTTAAAGGGCCAATATTATGTAAAATTTACTTTTAGGTTTCTATCATGGTAGAATTTTATTCCCTCATCAAAAACAGATGTGGAGTGTTACTTTGATTTTTTTCATGCATGTTTGAGAAATCCTTTAATCTCCATGGCAACCATTCAGCTGGGCAAAGCTCCTGGGTGGACCGAGCTCCTCCTCTGAGCTCTGAGTTTCCAAGCTTCTGCCTCACAGAGCAGCTCTCCACCACTCGGCTCCTAAAGACTAGCCAGCAGCAATTAGTAAACACCTGGTGGAACTGAGCATCAGCTGAGCTGACGACAGGAGCTACTTCTCAGTGAAATGCTGGTTAAAGCATTTTTAAGGGGTCAATAGAAGAGTGACGTTGTGATGACTTCCTGAAGGTGGAGCTTCAGAAAGAACAGGTGTTTTTAAAGAGACAGAGGCCTAACGTCAATACGTTAAATTACTGTGTCAAATTTCTTTTAAGTCATATTTAACATTTATATTTCATTTTTATAGCAAGCTTACGAAACATCACAGAAGTCTTGAAACCGTCCAATTAGCAAAACAGGTTCACACAAGGTCTTAAAAGCAGGAGTGTCAACAAGTGTGTGCTACATGTGTTCATGTGTTTTTACTTTTGTGGTAACATAAATTGTAAGCTCATTATCAAGGACCTTTTGGCTGATGAAAACTGTTATTCTTCACTTCTTCATACAAACACCCCGAAAGGAAAAATAATTGCACCCACCCACTGTCAGACGAAGGCCGACGGTCCTCACACCGCTTCCTAAAGACCAGTGGTCCATTATGAGCTCGTGTCAACACAAACACATCCCCTCAATGGGAGGTCTGTGTTTGCTCTGAACTGTTAAACACGTTCCTCGCTGTCAGAGCCATAGGTAGTGTGTTCACTGGTACACACACACACACACACATGCACACACACACACATGCACACACACAGACCACACTGCTCCCTACTTCCGCTGTATATTTGTCTACATGTCTGGGAGGCAGCTGAGCTGAGAGAAAAGCTCCTCTTCGCTCCTGGTTTCAGCCACTGGCAGCAAATCTACACTTCACCTCATTAATTATGTAGTGTATATAAATCATATTTGGGGACGGGGAAATTTAACAAGGATTTGAAAAGAAAATATGAATCTACAACAAAGAGTAGAAGGCAAAGTAAAGGGAAAATCAGTAGAGACGACAGGTCATGCTTTATATTCATGAACAGTAAAAAAAAAAAATGCCCCCCCTTTTACCACTGGAGCCTCAGACTTCAATGTAGGAGTTTGGGTCCAGCTATTGATTACATATTATTTTCAATTACAATAATCCTGATAGTACTTTACTCCTTATGTCACTACCTGTAAATGTGTGAAAAACTTTGGTTTAGAGCTGGTTTGTCCACAGACACATGAATGGACATTACATCACTGATGGTACCACAGTTTGATGCAGTTCTGTCTCCTTAACTCTCTCTGTTTTTGATGGATGAACATTACATTGCATGGATTCGATGTATTCCAAATTCTTGTCTCCTGAAGTTTGCAGTTTAATTTCTAACAGAATTATGAGCACTAGCACTCCCATCTTCCCTTTTCAGCATGTTCTTCCATCGTCTGTTCATTTTTTAGATATTCATCTCCTTTCCAAGCTCCTTCCCACTAAAACTTCCCCTCCTCCTACATATTTAATGACTTCCCATTCGGTTCGGGGTAATAACACGGTTGTCATGTCTTGTGGGGGAGCCTCCAGGACCTGCTAGCTAAAAATGTTAGCATTGTAATGATAAAACATTTACAATGCTGCATTAAGGGACTTCTTGTGATGTATGACTAATGCTTAGTCATACGCAGGGAAAAGAAATAGAGTGGCAATAATTCTTAGGGAAAAAAAGTGTATCAAGTAAAAGTGTCTATGAGTGTAAGCAGATGTAGAGCTTATAGTTAAAGTTTGAAACCCTCATTTAAAGGGGAAGTACTATATATAATAGACTCGTTTTAGTTTTACATAATCAAAATTGAATCTGGAGTGTTGCTTTGATTCTTTCATGCATGTTTAAAAAATATGTTAATGTCCATTTTTACAATAACTGAGGTCAAAATAATTACTTGATTGTGTCATAAAATCGCACTATATGCCTGAAAAACATAATACTGACCCTTTAAAAGCTTGATGTATTTGACACAGTGACATCTAGTGACAGAAGCAGAAAGCTGCAATTAACTAAATATTTTCTTCTGATCCCAAAGTTACCAGAGGAGTTAAAGATGTATTTGTTTTGTTCTGCTTGTGTTATTTTCATGAAATGGTTTAAAAAGAAAACATTATCAAGTATCCCCATCACAAGCAACATGAATGCCTAACATCCTGCATCATGAATTAGTAATACGCATTGTGCATCTGCAGAGGAATTTCAAGGGCATTACGGTACATTTACAAAAAAAAAAAAAAAAAAAAAAAAAAAAAAAAAAAAAAAAAAAAAAAACTTTTGTTAACCACATAGCAGGGTGGAAAGGGAGCATGCATGTATTTCTCAGACGTGATGGAAAAAGGAACACCAGATGTTCTCTACGTTCAGAAACAATACAGCGAGTCTGTGTGACAATAAACAAACACATCCATCATGAATCCATAGAGCAGCAAGAAAAGCAAACAGTCCCAGATACATGTGGTAGATCAGTTCTGATCCAACCTTATGTGACGAACCAACACAAAGTGGTGCAAAATGTTATTGTGTGTGTGCGCGCGCGTGTGTGTACTGCACTACTTTTTGTAAGTCTCTGCAGGTGGGCTCCCATAAGTCACAGCTCGGGGCCTCCAACAGTCTCTGATCGCCCCTGCAGCCAGTCGCTCGGGAAGAGCTCGTTGGCGATAGGTGTGTGTTGTGTTTTTGTTGTTTCTCGAAACTTTGAACTTTTCACCTTTTGCGATACAAAAAGAAAAAGGTCACGTGCGTGCGTGACTTTTGGTTTCATCTGATACGCACGCCCTCACTCCAAACACACGTTTCTAATTCGGTGTCCTAATTCATGTCAGCAGGCTCTCCAGTGACACAACGGCCAGAGCTGCATGCAAGCGAGACTCTCCTGCGCCAACAGCCATCTGTCCTTTAAAAAAAAAAAAGAGAGAGAGAGAGACAGAGAGAGAGAGAGAGTTGCGCACACCCTGAGCCTCTCCTCTCCTGCACAGATCCAGTGTGGCGCACTGACAGGCGGCAGTCCTCAGAAAGTGGGAAGTTTTCGCCAAAAGCTTCTGTGTGAGAATTAATCACCTTCATGTCGACTGTGTTGGATACTAACCCGCCGATGCTATGGTTACCTTTATTACGGTAGGAGCACTTTTTCTTCCCCCCTTTTCCCCCCACAATTGTGGTGCTTTTTCCTGGGCACAAAGTTCTTCTTCTTCTTTTTTTCTTACTTTCAAGACAGAAATTTGATCCAATAGAAACAGAGAAAGTGAACCTAATCCTCCAGCAGCTCCGTTTCCAAAGTTTCCAAAGACGCGCTCTTTGCGTTTTAGCCAGATTTGGAGGGTTTTTTTTCCTTTTAGGCTGAAAAAGTTTCAGAGACTGTATATTTCGCTCTAAAGTCACATTTTACATTTTAGTTCCTTCAGAAATGGGCAAACCCGCAGGTCACCGCTGAATTCCAGTAGGAAAACGGAGCAGAACGAGAGACGCGCACCGTGCGCTCCCTGAAGGCAGCGCAGCGGGGGCGCACTCATTTTACTCGCCTCTCTGGCTGTGTGCAGGTAGACAAAAGGGATGGGTATTTCCAAATGCACACGCACACACACCGAAACACACACACTGACACATGCACATGAATGTCAGTAACTCCATTAGTTCTTAAAAGTCTTAAGTAGTCGGAAAGGCAGGTGCTGCAGGGAGTGCGCACCACAGCGGTTCAGCTTGCGCCTTTCAGGCTCCCCACGCGCTAATTGCGGGGCCCCCGTGCGCCGGTTTGTAGGTGTGAAAGCTGATCTGTAACAGATGAGTCCCAAAACAAAGGCGGGCTATGTCTTCAATGGGGGGTTATTTGTCCCCCTCCTCAGCCGCGCCGCCTCCTACTGCATGCGTGCATAATTGTTTGGTGAATGCAGAAGAGTCCCGCTCAGAAATGGTCAGACTGAACGTTCTCTGGGGGAGTTTAACGAGTTGAAACAAGTGGGACATGACCCAAACGGACTAAAATAAGTGAAAGTTGAACAGTTGTTTTTTTTTTTTTTCTCCTTTTCCTCTAAGTTTCCTCCCCAATCTGCAGTATGTGCGGTTGAGTGGGCGCTGTGGGCCCTTTTTTGTCGGGAGCCTTCCTGCTGCTGCAGAGGCCTCGAATGGAGTTGACTTGGAAGAAAAACAATAATGCAACTTTATGAACACTTGAATCCGGTAATGGCTTCCGTCTGGAGGGAGAGAGAGAGAGAGAGAGAGAGAGAGAGAGAGAGAGAGGCTCCAGCTGCGAGTTTACCTGCAGCACTGAGGGAGTCACTTAGATAAACAGATGGAAGGAAAACAAAATGGGGAGTCAATACGACGAGGGTGGAGCTAATGGGAGGTGTTTGAAGAGTAACGCAAACATTAGTGTGTATTGTTGACATTTTATGTAATAGAGAGAAACACGGAGCGAAGGAAGTAGCTGCGTTTCCGTTACAAATGTGCGCTAAACTTCGTCAAAATTCCGCGAATGTAACAAAAAATAAAAGTTTCGCATAAGTAATGTAAACATAAGTGGCGTTTGCATTAATAAGTTTCTTCGCGCGACAGGTAATTAAAAATATATATGCTGCGCCATCATTCTCCAACTACTTCCTGTTCTCTTCTTCTTCGTGGTTTGCGCCTGTGACGTCCAGTTGTTGGTCATGTGACTCGAGCGTTTCCGTTGCAGTTGTAAATGAATTTCGATACCCCAAAAATAAATAAAAACTAAAACTAAACACCTCATCCAAGCGCCAAAACTTTTTCTTGAAAAAGTTGTTTTTTAAATTGCCATGTTTTCATTAAGCAAATTTATTTTCAAAATGTTAAATTGTTTAACTGTGTGGTCGATGGAAACAGCTAGTGAGAACATGCTCACATTTTGATTAAATGAGAACCTGAAAACTGCAGCATGTACTTATATTCAGGCTCCTCTGAATAAACACCTGTGTATGATGATGGGTGATAAAAACACACACGGCAGTGGCTGTATCATGCTGTGGGCTTTCTCTTCTTGAGCAGGAACAAATCAAGTCTGCTTTGTTGCTTTGTTTTTCAGCAACAAAGCAGTTCAAAGTGCTTTGCATCATAAAAACATCAAGTATGAAACAAGTAATAAACATTACAGTTTGTCAGATATAATTAAAACCATAAAGCAAATATACATCAAATATTGATTAATGGTTCACTTACTACTAATCAAATTCAAGAAAATGATTCCCACAGTATGATGCAGCCACTCCTGTGTGTCATCAAGAAGACTGCCTACTACACTAGTTCTGTTTTAAATTGAGGCATCAGAGTAAAGGGGGCTGAATACAAAAGCATGCCACACTTTTCACACTTTTTAGGTTTTCTTTAAATGATAATAATAATAATAATTATATATATATATATATATATATATATATATATATATATATATACATATATATATATATATATATATATATATATATATATATATGTATATATATATATATATATATAAAATTCTCTTTCCGCTTCACAATTGTGCAGTCTGAATGAAATGTGCAAGCGTTTAGCAAGGCACTATAATGCTGTAAATCCTTCAGTCAAAAAACAGAGGAAAAAAAAAAGGTGTAACTTTCAAACTGATTGTGCCAGGAAGTAAAAGGTCAAAGATCAAGAGCAGTGCAAACTCGTTCTCAGAAGGACCGATGTCAGACTCTGAACTTTGCACGTACAGTGATGGACATATTTATTACCGTGTGGTCGGGCTTTGAAGCTTTATCTTTGATTAAGGTGCTGTGGAAATTTTCGCATGTGATGGAAGCCCGCTCCATGTCCGACCGGGTCAGCGGGCGACGCATTCTGCTCGCTGTTCATCTCCACTAATGAGTGACGTTTACTTGCACAATGTCATGACCCCGCTTCCAGAAATTTGCGAGGAAAAAGTCTGAAAACGAGGCGAAGCAGTTTAAGTTGATAGGTGATCATGACAGGAAAATTGGGTCTCTTTCAAAGAATTTTGACCTCATTCGGTGGGGAAGTCCCCTTTAAGCAGCGGTTTAAGAAGATAATTGGGGCGAGCGCTCTGAAGTCCCAGCTTCAAACAGGGTTAGCCTGATGGACATGATACAAGTGAGTAATGGTCACTGAGGTTTGACTTGAGGGATATAGCTGGAGGATCAGGTCCAGTTCACTCTGGTCAGAACAGACAGACAGACGAAGGAATGATTCAGTTTAGAACGACTGAATGAAATGAGAATTCTTCCGTCCATCAATTTGTTTTCTAATACACCACGACTTGAAGACAGGGTTATAAATTTACAGGTATGGAAATGAAGGAACAAAATGAATTGTGTTGGAAGAAGACGGGTGGGTGAATTGTTGAGGTGAAGCCAAGTGTGGGCTGTTGTAATTGAAAAAGTCACTAATTTTTTGGCGTACAAATTTTTGCTATATTTTTTCTTAATTTAAACCCCTTCCAAAAATCTATACAAAGAAAAAAGATGAGAAGAAATATTACAATCAGACAGACTGGACAAACATTTTTATTTTATATTTTAAAGAACCTAAATTTTGCTCTTCATATTGATCGTGGACAGTAGCTGGACATCAAGTCAGGCCAGGGCAGAAGTGTGAGAAAAGTAAGAAACACTGCCACCTGCAGGTGGGAGTTGGCAGCCATGTAAACTCAACGTTTTGACTGTTTTTGCTAAGAAAATTTGCAATAAACTCACAATCATGAATTAGCTCCAAAAAAGCTTGGAATCATGAAAAACTGGAGGGATCATTATAGTAGCAGGTTAAAAACGATGAAAATGTTACTTATTTGATCGAACAGAAATACCAAAATAGTGCTCTGAAAATGCTTCTCCACTCACTTGTAGAGTTCTTCAGGGCTTTGTTCTCGGCTCTTTGTTTTTCTCATTTCAAAGTTTGTCTTTGCTGATGATCTTCACGTCTATCTGACTGTTAGAGGGATAGATTAGATATTTGGAAAATGGGAATGTCATACTTGTGAGTGGTAAATAGTTCAACTGCAGAAGGTAAAGATCTACCTTAGCTGTTTAGCATTCATGCTAACACCTAGTCAAATAAGTTCAAAGCCGAAGATGTTTATTATGCAACATCAGTTTAACTTTCATAGATAGTGGCTCATGTATTTATAAACCCTTACACAGCTGCCACTTTTAGATTAAATTATTTCCATGGAAGTATATGAGTGTTACTATGATGATCGCCGTCGGTTGTAGCTTGTAAAAATGACCTTCTCATTGAAAACAATACAAGATTTTTGCCAAAATCCTGTTTGGCAAAAAAAAAAAAAAAAAAAAAAGACATGTTGAGTGTCAAAGTCTAAGCAAACTGTGAGGAAACCTTCCTGCAGAGCAGCAGGGCTGCACCCATCTCTCCTCTTCTGAAAACACTCGGCCCTGTTTCTTGTCAGCTGCCTTTGCTTTTCAGAACGCCAACGGCTCTTAATAATAAAGTCAAGTGGGACTCGAGTATTTTAAAACAATACAAAGATTTGTGTTAATGTGATGTTAGGTCAAGAGCCTGAATCATGACGAAGCTTTAAGGTTTTCTGACCCGATCTTTTACGCTTTTCTAAGTGTTGCGGAAGTCGGAGGTGAAATTCCCGGCGTGTTCTCGACACTTCCTCTACTGTTTGCTCTTCCTCCTCTACTGTATGCTTTGCAGTCTGACAGTCCTGGCTGCTCTGGGATGGTTTACACATTTAGCAGAGTGTTTATGTGCTGCACATTCTTATGACTAGTTAGAGGAAAACATACTGCGAGGATGTGGATGAGGTGGATCAGTGGAAGTGTGATCGGACGCAGCTCAGTGCAGCCGGGATGGAATAATCAGCACTGCAACAATCAAAAGTCTCCCTGTTTGTCTTTTTCTTACTTTCCCAGTGACACAACAGACGGGGAACATGTGATTCCTTAAACCCACCATCCGGATCTTTACCTTCCCTGGTTTTCCAACTCTGTTTACATCCAACCTCTCTCTGTTGTACTCTTGACCTCTGCATAAAGTACTTGACCCTGATACAGCCAATTCCTGGCCTGAATTCCAACATAACCCAATTTATCACCCCATGCAAATGCAGGTTATGAGGATATGTATAATCTTATTGAGAATTAGATTTGTTATGGGAT